TTGGTATTTAAATTCAAATTCAAAAAAACTTTATTGTCCAAAGTACATTAAGTTCTCATTGACAAAGCACTAAAAATAACTCGAAAAATCTGACAACAACAAACATTAGTAGGAAGAAAATTAGTTACATTAATACAAGTAGTTATCTCGAGAAAAGCTCCTTCTGATTTTTACTTTTGTGTCCAAGAATTGTTTAAGTAATATTTCTTATTTGACTATTTTTCCTTAGTAGGATTTTCTATTTTGTTTGATAGAAGCTTTGTTCAGGTTTCAAAAAAGAATGGTTCTAGAATGATTCAAAACGATCGCACAGTTTATCAATCAACAAAATGACAACGGCTCGGCTATCACAAATTTCAATAATAAACTATGCGATTGTTTTGAACCGTTCTAAAACTATCCTTTTTTCAAACCCGAACAAAGCTATAGATAAGTAAAATGTGGGAAATCTTAGTCACCATGTCAGAAATGAAGAGTTTTTGTGTATGCCAACCCTGATTTCCTGTTTATATTGAAAACATTCTGATTTTAGACAGGAAACCTTTAAAGTTGAACAACTTTATACTGAAAAGGTGGAGCTAATGAGGTAATAGATATAATAACTATTGACCTTCATTGACCAGCTAGAAAAAAAGCTGTTTCATGAGTCCAAATGAAGACGAGACGCATAAAGAACTGGCTAGAGAATGTTGGATCTACAGAAGAATATAAAATTATTTATTGCAAAAAAAAAGCTATTAAAATGCAAATGGTAATGTTTATTTCATTTATTTATTTCCACTTCCAACATGCAGCGGCCCAATTTTACAAATATTGCCATAATAATAATATTAATACTAATAACAAACCACATATAAATACAAATTTTAAAAAGAGTACAATAAATTATTTGGACAACAAAAAACAGCCAAAAACAGATCACAGAGTAAATCACTAGATTACAAAACAATATCACAGTGATAGCTTCACTTGGTGCAAAGACGCAGCAAATATGTCCACCTGTATCTCATTGGCATAAGACATAGCCCGATTAATGGTTGTGTGTTGGCCATAAGAGGTACGATGTCTCTCCAACGAAAAACAGCGCACAGCTCTAAAATTCCTCACTGGGACATTCAAGTTTACAGCCGAGAGCAACTCAGGGCAATTCAGATAACCTCTGAGCAACTTAAAAATCAGTAACTGATCAAATTTTCTACCCCTATGCTCCAATGTTTCCAATGACAAATTCTGCAAAATCTGACCATGATCAATAAAATCTGAAGGTATTCCCATTTTGTACCCTATGTATCTCAAGAATTTTCTCTGTACACGTTCAACTAATTCAACATAAATTTTATAATGTGGTGACCACACACAGCTATTATTTTCAAGATGGGAACGAACCAATGACACATACAAACACTTGAGAGCAGAAACATTCTTAAAGTCTCTTGTGTGTCTTTTGATAAAACCCAGCATTTTCAATGCTTTATTACAACATGCATAAATGTGTTCAGAAAATGACAATTTTGCATCGAATACAACACCTAGGTCACGAATACTAGAAACATTTTCAATAACATTATCAGGGAGAATTTTTCCTAGAGAACTGAATATATTAGCATTTCTTGCCATTCAATGTCATCTCGTTCTCAACACACCACTCATGGAACCTCAGAAGATCATCCTGCATTCCCCTGTCTGGGCCTTCTTGATTTATACTCTTGAAAATTTTCAAGTCATCAGCATATAATAAAAATTGGACATGATGGAAGCAAGACCCTATGTCATTGATAAATAAGCAGAACAGGAGTGGTGCAAGATGACCCCCCTGAGGCACCCCAGAAGTAACACTAATAACCTCAGATTGAAATGACTTTACCTTTACAATCTGGCTTCTGTCTACAAGATAAGAATATAGCCATTGAAGAAGTGAACCACATACACCATATTTGGAAAGTTTTTCTATCAACAATGCATGACTCGCCCTATCAAAGGCCTTGGAGAAGTCGGTATAGATAGAATCTACAACCTGACCGGCCTCCAAGGTTCACTAGAACATGCACATCAAAAAAAAAAAAAAAACTTGCTGCCTGCTCATTACATAAAATTCTCTTTTCATCCTACCTTAAAATAGCTTTTGACAGATTATTATTTTTTTAGTAACATAAAATACTCGATATAATAAAATTGGTGGTCATTGAACATAATTTAGGTTGCCACAAATTAGAAGGAATACTAACAATTTGATGTTTTGTGAGGGAAAGGTTGCGTGCACATTGGCGAGCAATGAGCGGTGCGCGTTGAACGGCGAGCGTTTAGGTGTGCTAACGCCCGCGGTGTTGTGTGCACATTGAAAAGTTTATTTTATGAGCGTTTTCAGAGTTGTCCTAGCTAGCAAGGTGTCTACTTTGATGCTTAAACTGTTATTAGTTGAAAATCCACGTTTAGCTCGATTACTTTTAATTAAAAGTAAATGAAAGAAATGCATCAATTGAATCAAAGTTGTCTAATAATTGGAGAATTCCATCATTTGTACATGGATTTCGATTCAATTCGTCCAGGTTTTCTGAATTCCTTCGTATGTCCATCAAAACTGTCGACTACATTTTAGCCAAAGTAGAGAACAGGCGTCGAAATCGAAAGAACTGTACCAGTTTCAAGAAACCAATTTACCAGCTGAAAGACTACGTAACTTTAAGGTAAGTAAAAACAAATACCGACAGTCTCTCTCCAAACAGTAGCGACAATTAACCTCCAGCCACTCTTTTTTGATAACTTCAGTTTTTTTGTAATTTTTGTTTTTATCATTCCATAAAACAGTTTTTGATTGGAATTTTGGGCCTCAGCAATTGATAACTCCCTGTCGATAGCATCTTGTTGGAAAGACATATTAAAAGCGTGCCTGCGTGCATCAATTTACATTCCAATCTACTCTATCCATGTCGCGGTGCCGCTTGCAATTCGATCAAAAACCAAAACAAAGCGGCGCGATGCGATACCGCGCAACGCCAACGCTCACCGCTCATTGCAATGTGCACACTCTAATCTACACTTCACTGTTTGAAATATTTTACGTCGACGCTCACCGCGCATCGCTCGCCGCTCACCGCTCACCAATGTGCATGCGCACTTAGATTTCAAAATGTGGTCTCTGAAATTCTGAAGTTCAAATGATGAACATCTTAAGAAGACCATATTTTAATATCTTGATTTCAAAACAAAACAAATATATTATACAAGTAGGCTACAGGGTGAAGCTTATATTTAAAAATGCTTATCAATATCATTCCGATGAAATATTTATGGCTATATGATACCTTCCAATGATTAGAACTGGCATATGTAGGCAAAATTTGATCGGTTTCCTAATAATAAAGCAAGCCCCGAAACCAACCTTGAAGAAGATTTTTTAGCATACTGTATTTTGTTCTTAAGTTAATTTTTTTTTAAAAATTTGAAATATTAATATTTTATATTCAAATTTCAAATTTGAATAGAATAGAATAGAATAGAATAATATTTATTGCGTAATTTGTACAGTATATACAGGGTGTATATTTTAAGTGATACCACTATTGCTATATCCGAAACGGTAAGAGCTACAAGGTCGGTTAAATTAGAAAAAAGTTGCCTATTTTGATGTCCATTCAAGACTCCTTTACAGTCTTGCCAAGTTCCTTTTAGTTTATGAAATACAGGTTCGTAACTAGGGCCGAATTAAGGTAAAATTTTGGTAAAAATCATAATGATTACTTTTTAGAGCAGAAACGTCGGCCAATCATACTTAAGAGGTATATCGTTAAAGAGGAAATAGAGGGCACTTTCTAAAAATGATTTAAAAAATCCAGGTTCGTATTCAAAAAAAATGAAGTTGATGATGGTAGCTCGATCACGAAACGTCGGATTTAAATTTTGAAGATACCATGTTGTAGAGCAAAAAAAAATATGAAACTTTCAAATTCAAATTGTGTCTCGAAAATCAATAGTTTTCGAAATAATTGATGAAATATTTTCGGGCGTTTCTCAAAAATCACCCTGTATTTCATAAACTAAAATGAATTTGGCAACACTGTAAACAAGTCTTGAATAGGCATCAAAAAAGGCAACTTTTTACTAATTTAACCGACCTTGTAGCTTTTACCGTTTCGGATATAGCAATAGTGGTATCACTTAAAATATACACCCTGTATATAATAAATATAATACAAAAACAATACACAAAAGGCAACATTCGCTGAGGCGTTCTTCCATGATGCCCTGTCTCTTTGAACACTTTCATACTACACAGATTCCAGTAATTGACTTTTATAAACCTTTTTAAAAATCACTAATGAATTATTAATTAACAAATCATAGATATTTGAGTTAAGTAATTCTACAGACAGAAATGCAAAACAACTTCTAAATTTGGATGTTCGATGTAGCGGTATATTATATCTTACTGTATTTCTATAATATATTAATTAATTAATTTAATTTTTTATATGTGCTCCTCACTCACAGTTTTAACGTAAAGCGTGCCGCTGAAAATTCAGATCATTGTCGAACATAATTCCAAAATTTTCTGAGTGTTCCTCCAATGGTAGGTATCTCCTCTGGTATCTCAATTTCACCAAACAGAGTAAAGTAAAAAATTTCTGTTCCTCTCATTATCTTTGAGGTGTAGATGCAAAATAAAATGTTTTTAATATTATAATAATAATAATAATAATATTATCCCATTGATTATCTAAATTTAGCGCCACCTTCATAATACAGAGTTGTTTGCTTTTAATTTTTCCAAATAAACTATTTCAATTTTGTGAATCCTAATAATTTAAATTGGAAATTTTAAAATTCTGGGAGAAATTGTTGTAAAACTGCATTACTATAAAGTGTCTGGTAGTCTAGATATATTTTTAGGCAGCCCTGTCGAGGCAGTCAGTGCATTAGCATTACCATAGGCATTACTCATCGTAAAATAAACAAAGCTAGAACAAAATTAAAATTGAAATTTGCCATTTTTTTTTTTACAGGAGCATCACTTGCAGCGAGCAATATGTACAGGACTTATCATCCCTACACCAGAAGTCACCAAGGTGCCAGAGTGCGAACTCTCTTATCCTTCCAACTACAAGCAGCCTAGGCAGCTTATTCATATGCAACGTAAGTTTTGCCATTTTAGTCCAACCAGGTGTTTTCAAGCATATTCTGTCTGTTGTAAAGAGAAGTATATAATTCTGCAGTTGGTTTTAACAAGGTAATTGTCTTTATCTGGCAATATCTAGTTCCATTTGGAAAATAGTAGCTGTACTTTATCTTCAAATGATTCAAATCGTCTCCCTAGCTGTGAATGGTCGTAATCCACAAAATGTTCATTCTTGAGTTGTGACTGTTAACATACTTAAAAATGTTTAAATTTCATGTTGGTGAATAGATCTAAGCCAGTGATCAATGTTTGACCTTGTTATAGTATATTTGCTAATTAAAAAGCATATTTTCACCAAAAACAAAAATTTTTAGAGGACTAGGTACCTACTTAAGACGGGTTAAACTACTTTTCGATTAACGACTAAAATAATTTATCAAAATCAATAAAATTTAGTGGGATGGTAGATGATGAGTTATAGAATAGAGGAAAGTCATTTTCTATCAAATGAAATAATCCAAAAGATTATGTCACTTCTCAAAAAAATAAGTATTAGAATATGAAAGACTTTGCACCATTCTATAATTCATCCTCTACCATCCCACCAAATTTCATCGATTCTGATCAAATACTTCAGTCGTAAATCGAAAAGTAGTTTCACCCGTTTTAAGTAGGTACCCAGTCCTCTTGAATGCAGTTTACTCACAACTTACCTTGAGTGGATTACGACCATTCACAACTAGGGCGACGAAATATGATTTGGTAGTAGAAAATAATACTTTTATGCTATAGTTAGAATGTAGTGTGGAAAACACTGTGCTTCTCCTTTGTAAAATGTTTTTATTTATTTATTCAATTAAAGTCTTACAAAACACATGCACAGTAATTAAATTATAAGACTACTAGTAGCCAGAAAATACTACCTACAAGCAATGCAACTGCCTAAAAATGTAAATATCAAAAAATCTAAAGAAATCTAGAAAAAAATTAAAAATCTAATCTAATGCTACTCATTTGACTCATTGAAGAATAAACTTGTTGAATGCTGAGATCAAGCAAGAAAAAACAGAACGTGTAAAAAACTTTTCTATCAATCCCTCAGTATCTCTTCTTGGTGACCGCATCGACCAACTTGTCTTTTCTTTATATGGCTCAAATATGACCATGTACGGAATTCCCACATCTGAAGCGATGGTCCCAAGCATTCGTTGGCTCCATTAGATGTACAAGTACAAATATTGATAATGAACCATAATGCCAATTATTGCAATCTCTTGAACATAGACACAATGTGGCCAACTTGTCATTACTCTATCGCTATAACCATGAGAGATGTTCTGACAATTTGGCCAGCTTCATTCCAGCTACAATATGTTATACAAGAACCGCACAGGCATTCCATTCGTATGTGGTGAAGTTGGCTACCCTGTGGACCTCTAATATAGGGCTTCTTTTTGGTGGCGTACTGCCCACCTCTGGAACTCCCTGCCTCCTACTTCATATCCTGAACGATTTAACCTTAAGGGTATTGAATGCGCCGTTTAAAATATATTGTAACGCACGTCGAACTATACGACTCCCAACAAGTTAATGCTAATAAAGATGCGAGGTTCATCGCGATTATTGCATTGGGCTACTGGTGGGCCGGTTGGCCTTGGATCCTTCATGATAGCGATTTAAAATTTATCGCAAATCAGGCGGAGGAAAGAGCCATAGGGTTTGCTGCGGGTATAACAGAGACAGGCAAAATGACAAGAAGAATTAAGTAAATTTCTACAAAAAAAACTAGATGATTTTTGGGATTCTGGTTTGTGCTATTGTATTGCTAACACACATAAGATTGGCGCTAAATAAAAAAGACACCATAAACTGATTAATTTTCTCGTTTTTTTCCAGTTTAAATTAAATTTTTGTAATTTTTCGAGAACTCGTTTCTATTACCGGATTTCTAAAAAGATAGCGCCATTCTTCCCTATATTATAAATCGAATGCAAAAAAGAAATTTGATATAACTTCAACTGCTAAAAAGTTACGTTGAAACTAAGAACGCAATGCATTCCTTGTTTCATTCATCTCATTCCCACTAAGGAGTATTAATAGGGGGGGAAGAATACAATGATAGACTGCGTTAGGTGCTTCGCGCAGGAAAAAATATTTTGGCATCGAGGCGCATTCAGTCCCCTTAACGGGTTCAAATGAAAGGTTAATCGTCTCTAAATTTCTTTCGCTCATGGTACCGCTTAGGTAGAATAGACTTTGTCTTTTGTGAGTGGATGAATTAAAAAAAAAAACTACTATAAACCACAGTCATTTGTTGTCAAACTTGTTTGGCTCTAAAATGACATATGGCTCTTTCTCTCTCAACTGTCAACAAGCTTGATTTCTTTTTTGAAAATAATCCTTTTATTTTTTCTTTATTATGTATTATAACATTGTTTAAAAGACTGTCCAATCAGTGCTGAAAGTGCTGGCCTCGAGAGTATAATTTATAAAGTTTTAACAATTAACCATATTTTTTGATTTTATTTTGCATGCCTCCCATTCTGATAGAGAATGTAATAAGTATGTATATTTTATGGCTTCTGGGCAAATAGGTACTCAATTTTCAAGGATGTTTGTGTTTATACAGTTTGTAACAGCCCTTAAAATCGTGGAACAGACACTGGACCAAACTTTTCAGTTGAAATTGAGCAATTGATTAAATTTCGTATTTGGTTTGAGCCCTCCAGGGCCTATATTCAAGCCGGTTTTTATAGTGTAAAAAATAAAATAGATTTTTAAAGTTGATTTCTACTTGGCTATTCTGTCTACTATGCCACAAACGACTTCTCTGATAAACTAGGTATTCTAGTATTCCTATCTTTTTACATTGTTGAGAGTCAGTTACTTTACTGACTTTATATATTATCATAATTTGAAAAATTGCATTAAATTCCTCTATACCGGGTGTCTATGAGATCAGTTTCGCACTGGCATTTGCTGCTTTTTTTTTAATGGCATTGAATTTCGGTATGGGGTGTAGGTTTGAGAAATGTCATCTTTTGACATATTGTCGTTAATTTCACAAAGTGACGTATCTCAAAAAAAGTCTGATTTGAGATACGTCACTTTGTGAAATTAACGACGATATGTGTCAATGTTTGGTAACTTCCGAATGAGCGGAAATGGCCCTACCTTCGAATGGCAATAGTTTTTTCGCATTTCTGCGATCTGCGGATTATGATGTGTATGAAAACGTTGAATTTGAACCTTTTTGAAAAAATCCAGAATTGTGGATCAACATTTATTTTTGAATAGAGAGTGACAGAATGATCTTCCAGGCATCCAAAGATGAAAAAATCACATTTTACCCAACTTTCACGACAAGAGCTTTTTACCTTTTTTAAAATAAAACCAAATATGCATTAAAACTTGTCATTCATGCCAGTTTTTAATAATTTTTTATTATTTTTATCATGCACTTCTATGTATAAATGATAAAACTACGTATAAATAAACCCCTGTATGAAAAACTTGTGTCAATTTATTCACAAAAATCAAAAGAGTTGTGACACCAACTTGTATTTTTGAATGCAAAGCCCTATTTTGTGTTGCATATTTGGCCTCGTCGCATTTTCTTAAGTGAATCAAGAGAATTCTAATAATTCCGCTAATTTTAACATTGTATTAAAAAAAAAAAAAAAAATTGAAAAAAAAGGGGTAAAACAGGTAGAATAATGATTTCCTTGTTCCTGGAAAGTCAAAAATCTGTTATTATTGTTTATTAGGGTTAGAAAAATGGCTGACGATAAAGATGTAGAGATTTTAACGCCCACAAAAAGTGCTGAAAATATTAGTGAAAAATTGATAGAAAAGTGTTCTCATTGTAAAAAAGATACGAAGAATTTCATAGAGTGTGGAAAATGCCAGAAAAACTTTCACTCCGCATGCCTAATACAAGCGGCGACTCAAAAATCCGCCAAGTGCCGCCACGTACCTACTTACGCAGAAGAAGAGCATTGGAGCCACGAAAAGCAACTCATTGGCATAATAATCAAACTACTAGAGGAGAAGAACGAAATACTAGTGGAAAATAATCGTTTTATGAGGGAAAACATCATAAAACTTGAAGAAAAAGGCAAGAAACTCGATAATGAGGTTAGAAAGCTCCTTGAATTCCCGCCAACAACAAACGACGTAACCGATCCACCTGACAGCCCGAAGTTAGCAAAAGATCAAAGAACACCAAAAATGTTGAAGACAGCTGGGAAAAAACAAGCCGTGCAGACCTGCTCCAACAGTTATGATAAACGCACTCTGTCTCTAACTATGATACTAAAACACAGAAGATATGATCATTTGGTGGACGAAATTTGAACCAGTTCGCGCATGACGTCATCGCGTGACATAAATGTATGGAGATAATAGAGAAATTAGCTTGTTCGTTATGATTTGACTGGTAAATCAGAATTTCTCGTGATAATAATTCAGATATACAAAATAAAACACGATCCAGCGTATAGTGTATAATTTATTTCACATAAAATAGCTATTTAGAAATTTTTTTTATCATTGAATTGAATAAATTACAAATATACATAAATATATTAGTTTTGGATACAAATTTCTACTTCTACTTATCATAAATATTAATAACACTTTTTTTACATTTCTTCAAAACAATTTCTGATGCTTAATAAATATTTGTAACCATAGTCTGGCTGAAGCACGTACAAATTCCAATCCCCACAGGTAGAATTTAACAAAAATGTGCAAAATGTCACAGCTAAATAATATGTTAAAAGTAGACAACTATAATAAAGGAAAATTGGAACATCATTACACCACACATGGCTACTACATACTTTTTATGTATATTTTTGACCATATCCCTTTCATTATTTGTTTTGTCATAGTCTTTCTGTTTAGATGTTTCAGCTTTCGGAGATTTAATTTTTGATACTGAAGTCCAGCTTCCGATTGCACCCATATATCACAATTATATCTATAACTAGGCATGTTTTTACTTTTTTTTTAT